CTTCCCGCAAATCCGCTTGTGATTTCCTCGAATAAAATTCGTATTTGACAACAGCGCTATCATGTTACGGCGAACTACTGTTTGACATCAACGTGACGTTCAGTTTCCTTTTGAAACGTAAAACTGTACAAGCTCTAAGCCTCCATGCACCTGCAGATCCTCTCAGCACAGCAGCTGGCTTCTGCATAGTTACTGCTAGGCTTTCCAGGTGAAAAACTAACCCAGATTGATCATTTGTTACATGTACATTTTTTTCTTTTACTAGAAACGAACAGATTTAAAATAAAGAGGTGAGCTATGAGTTTACCAGACAGAAGTAAACAAAAGAAGGAATGGTAACATTAACATCAGATACGGGGAGGGGCACTTGGGTGGCTCAGTCGGTTGAGAGGTTGAGCACTCTTGATTTTGGCTCAGGTCATGATCCCAGGGTCATGGGATCAAGCCCTGTGCTGGGCTCCACAGTGTGGAGCCTGCTTAAGATTCTCTCTCCCTCTCTGTGTGCCTCCCCCCCCCACTTGCTCTCTCTCTCAAATTAAAAAACAGAAAAACAAAAACATCAGAGAAAGGGATATTGGTCAGACATAAGTTGAAAGCATTAAACAGGATAAAAAGGATCTTATAGAAGGCATAATTTACAAAGACAGGGCACAGTCTTGTATGAACCAGTGACGTAATGTTACATACATAAAAAGATCTTCCAGAAATGCAAAAAAGATTGTTTAAAATGCATTTAAGGTGGAAATCTTAATCACACCTCTTCTAGAATTAGACTGACCTAGGAAATGTATCAGAGAACTAAATTCTAAAATCAATAAACCTGAATACTAAAACCAGTAAACCTGATGAAAGAGAGTCATAGAACTTAAAAAAAAAAAAACATTTTTTTTTCATGTTTATTTCTTTTTGAGAAAGAGAAACAGAGCACAAGCAGGGGAGAGGCAGAGAGAGAGAGGGAGACACAGAATCCGAAGCAGGTTCCAGGCTCTGAGCTGCCAGCACAGAGCCCAAGAGGGGGCTCGAACTCACAGATCACAAGATCATGACCTGAGCCCAAGTCAGATGCTTAACTGACTGAGCCACCCAGGCACCCCCGCATAGAACTTTTATTTATTTATGTACATACTTATTTATAGCATAGAACCTTTTAATTCTAAGTAGAAAATATACATATTTTAACACCCATGAAATGTGTAATCATTGATTATGTACTTGCCAAAGAAGAAAATCTTAACTAAAACATACCGAATCTAATTCTCTGGTCACCACAAAACTGGAAAGTAATACAAACATGACCACCATCACGCTGTGCACTTGAACTTACCCAGTGATGTATGTCAATTATCTCTCAATAAAACTGAAGAAAGAAATGGATTGAAAAGCTTAAGTATTTGAAAAAATGACATCCAATCCCGGATAACTCTTAGATCAAAGAAAAAAATGACAACATATGTAAAAAGCAATGAAAAAGAGAACACTTTATACCAAAAACTATGGAACGAGCTGTATTTAGAGGCAAATTTATAGCCTTAAAATGTCTTCATCAAAAATGAAATAAAAATGAAAGAACTTAAAAAAACAAAGGCTCAGACTAATATTAAGAAATGGGAAAAGAACAAGAGAGTAGGACGAGGAACTGTGACAAAAAAACTGGAAAACAGAAGACAGTAAGTAAGAGTTGAAAAGCATTCAAAAAGAGACAAATCCTCTTGCAAGCCTGGTTGAAGAAAAAAGAAAACAAAAATATGTAAGGTTAGGAATGAGAAAACAACCTCATGTGCAGAGCAGACTGTAAGAATCTCAAGAGAATTCTATACACAATACAATGACAACTAATTTGGAAAATCTGTTGAAAATGGAGGACTTCCAAGCAAAATACAAATTAAGGTTGATCCCTCCCCCACAGAAAAGTTGAATTTTAATTTTTTTTAATTTTTAATTTTTAGAGAAAGAGAGCACGCGCCCAAGTTGGGGAGGGGGCAGAGGGAGAGGGAGAATCTTAAGCAGGCTCCACGCTCAGCACAGAGCCTGACATGGGGCTCGTTCCCATGACCTTGGGATCATGACCTGAGCCCAAATCAAGTCAGACGCTCAACCAACTGAGCCACCCAAGCAACCCAAAAAGTTGACTTTTTAAATGATCACAGAAGAGAGTGGACACATTATATATAAATTCTACCACGTAAAACTATATAATAGGATTTTGCAATTGATTTCTCTACTCAGTCTTAAAAGAGCAGATAATTCCAAAGTCACTTAGATTATTTCAGAACGTAGTAAAATATAAAATGCTCCCTCAAGTTATTTTAAGGGATCTAGTATAATTTTAAATATCAACATCTGATTAATAGAGTACCAAAAAAAGCTCCCCTTCATGTCAGTGTCACTAATAAAAGATACATTCTATATAAAATATCAATAAATGGCACCCAACAGTGTATCAAAAGAATAATATACTGGATCAAAGAGAATTACTTGGAGATTCTATCAGTATTTTAGCAGGTACTGTACCAAAACCTTTTAATTTATGATACACGGATATATTTAAAGCACTGAATTTTCCATACTAAAACATGAAATGTCCATTTACTTGCCCTTAATGTCTTTTAATGATATTTCCCCCCCATTTTATAACTGATATACAAAAAAATTTAAGTTTCTGTATTCATTTAGCCACTTTGCTGAACCTTTTAATTCTAATAATTTTGTAATTTCATTCTTTTCCATTTTCTAGAAACAAAATTACATTATCCAAAAATAATATTTTCATTTCTTCCTTTCCTAACATTTTTGTCTGTTCCCTGTTTTATTACTTTGGCTAGAAAGCTAGCACCATGTTGAATATTAGAAGTGAAAGTAAATATTCCATTTTTTCCTGAGTTTAAAGAGAATGCTTCTATTGTTTTATCATTTAAGTATGACATTTACCATAGATTTCTTTTACGTGCCTTTTATCAAGTTGCTGTTTGTCTATTCCCATTTTGCTAAGTGTTTTATTTATTTATTTTTGGGAGGTGGGGGAGAGAGGGAAGGAGAGAGGGAGAGAGAAAACGAGCAGGCAGGGGCAAAGAGAGGAAGAATCTTAAGCAGGCTCCAGCACAGAGGCTGACACAGGCCTCAATCTCACAACCATGAGATCATGACCTGAGTGGAAATCAAGAGTCAGACGCTTAACTGACTGAGCCACCCAGGCACCCCTCCTATTTTGCTCAATGTTTTCTTTGAAATCAAAGTAGGTTTTGAATATTTGCAAAAAACACTTTACCGCTCGAGATGATCATATAGATCATACAGATTTAACCTCATATAAACTATTAATACAGTGATTTATAGCAACAGGCTTTCTAACGTTAAATCATTCCTGGGATAAAATCTTTCATTCCAGATGGAGGGCATGACTGAAATTGCTACTATTTTATTTTAGGGCTTTGTATTGATGGGAGTTGGGCAGTTTTTTCTTCTAGTGCTATCTTTGTCAGGTTATGGTATTAAGGGGATGCTAACATTATGAGCTGAACAACTCTCCTTAATGGAAGCACTCCAGGAATAAGGGACAGCATGAGCAAAGACCAGGATGAAAAAGCACAGGATATGCTCAGAGAATAGGATTTAAGACTTCTTTTTCTCTTTTTTTTTTTGTTTTTTTAATTTTTTTTTTAAACGTTTATTTATTTTTGAGACAGGGAGAGACAGAGCATGAACGGGGGAGGGTCAGAGAGAGAGGGAGACACAGAATCTGAAACAGGCTCCAGGCTCCGAGCTGTCAGCACAGCGCCCGATGCGGGGCTCGAACTCACGGACCGTGAGATCATGACCTGAGCCGAAGTCGGACGCTTAACCGACTGAGCCACCCAGGCGCCCCTCTCTTTTTTAATGTTTATTTATTTTTGAGAGGCAGACAGAGCGTATGTGGCGGAAGGGCAGAGAGAGAGAGGGAGACACAGAATCTGAAACAGGCTCCAGGCTCTGAGCCGTCAGCAGAGCCTGATGTGGGGCTCAAACTCACAAACCGCAAGATCATGACCTGAGCTGAAGTCAGACACTTAACCGACTGAGCCACCCAGGTGCCCCAGGATTCAAGACGTCTTAAAATGGACTAAGTAACACAAAGTAGGTTTGACTCCAGTTGCTAATTAATCTTCAAGCACAACTCCTCTGCCAAAACACTTTGATATACTGCTCATTTTACATACAGAACAGACTCCAAACGTTCAAGATCCTTCCTACTTTATTTTTACAAATTTTTTAAATGTTTATTTTTGAAAGAGAGAGAGAGAGAGAGCGCGCGCGCGAGCACGAGTGGGGGAGGGGCAGAGAGAGAGGGAGGCACAGAATCGGAAGCAGGCTCCAGGCTCTGAGCTGTCAGCACAGGGCCCGAATTGGGGCTCGAACTCAAGAGCCTAGCCATGAGAACGTGACCTGAGCCGAAGTCGGACGCTCAACAGACTGAGCCACCCGGAGCGCCCCAAAATCCTTCCAACTTTAACCTATTTTACATTTCAACCTGTGCTTTCCTGTGATTTTTGTTTGCTTAGAATGCTATATATGATCTACAATGGCACATCCAAATCCTACCCACCTATCAAGGGAATAGTTCAATACCCATGAAAAGTTCTCAGATCCAATTGAACTATGTCTGAGTTCACATGTGCTACAGCAAATTACTGTCAGCTTTTGGCTTGCCAACTCCTTAAGCTCTCTGACAGCTATACTATGTTGGTCAGTGTCACGCCCCCCTCCCCCAATTCACGACCTTCCCAGAACCTTAGAATGTGACTTTATCTGGCAATAGTTATTGTAAATGTAATTAGTTAAGATCAGGAGTAAGGTAGGCCCTTTGTCCAAGAAGGCTGTGTCCTTTTAAGAAGAAACACAGATACACAGAGAAAAACACCATAGGAGAAGCTTCAAGAGATCCAAAAGATGCAGCTACAAGTCAAAGAACTCCTAGGATGGGTGCACAGCACCGGAAACTAGGAAAAGGCAAGGAAGTATTTTACCCAGAGTTTCAGAGGAAGCATGATCCTGCTGACACCTTCATTTCGGACTTCCTGGTTCCAGAACTGTAAGATAATAAACGCGTTGTTTTAAGCTACCCAATTTGCGATACTTGGTTATCACAGCCCTAGGAAACGAAAGCAAAGGCAACTTAAATTTCTAATTTATCTTCCTAACTCCAACAGCGCTATGTCCCTAGTGCAGCTGAGAACTATGTAGGTACTCAAATCCTTCCAGGAGTGGGCTTCCGGCAGCAGCAGTCAGGAACTGCCAGACCTTATGAGCTCCTGCTGGGAGACGACCAACAGCCACTGCTCGTAAGTGGTAAGTAAGCACCGTGACTGTAAGACAAGCGGCTACGCAGACGAACGGAAGCCAGAAACTAAATGAAACACGCGGCACCCGGAGAGGGAGGAGCCTCGATTCCCCAGAGAGCGACCAGGGAGGAAGGCAGTTCTCGAGACGGGAGTCTCCGAGCCGCTCTCCAGACCCCGCCGAACAGCCCAGTCCTCTCCCCACCCTCCACAGCCGGGAACCCAGCAACTGCCACCTACAGTCCAGGAGCCCCTCCTGCCCCGCTCCGCGCCGCCGCCTCACCTCCGCGGGCGCGTCCCGCTATGTTACGCTGTTGCATGGGGGGAGGGACTTCCTCCCCACACCCGGAAACCGGAAGGAGCTCTTTCCCGCCGGAAGGAGAGTGCAGTTGCTGTCGGGGTCGGATCCCGGAGGGCCGGGTGTGGTTGTGGCGTAGAGCAAGGCTGATCTCGGGCCACCCGCGGGGCGGGCGACGATATCGTCCTTGTGGGCAGGCTGGCTGGCGTGTCGGGTTTCGGGGAGTATGGCGGGGAACCGGAGTAGAGGTGAGAGGTCGGCGTATCTGTCGCGAGGGTCCTCGTCACCCAACCACATCTACGTCTCATACCTAACTCTTGCTCAGCTTTTTCGACCCCGTCTAAAAAAACAAGCCTGGTAGTTCACGGAGGTGCGGTGGGGAATATATGTGGAAGGGAGGAGTAAAGTTTAAGGAAAAATAATTCAGGAGGTGAATTTAACATAAGTGGTCCCTTAAGGGATGTGACTCCGGGGCCTGTGCATAACCAGGCCCTCTGAATCGGTGACTCCTGCTTGAGGCAGCAGCACCTGTTGCATTAATTTGAAAACATGCACACAGGCGGGTGATTTTCAAGCTTCCTGAATCTGCCAGCCAAGTCATTGGGTGTCAGAGGAGGGACAGCCATCTGGGTCATCCCCCACGGTTCAGTTTTTAATGGAAGCATAGTGAGAGGAGACAGGCTGAAAGTCAGGAATTAGAAATGTGTCATTTATTTACATTTTATTATTTTTTATTAAAAATTTTTTAATGTTCTTGAGAGAGTGTGAGTGGGGGAGGGGCAGAGACACAAAGACACAGAATCCTAAACAGGCTCCCAACTCCGAGCTGTCAACACAGAGGCTGACACCGGGTTTGAACTCACCAGCCGGTGAGTTCGCAACCTGAGCCCAAGTCAGGGGCTCAACCTACTGAGACACGCAGGCGCCCCTGTAGGCAGTTTCTGTTTCACTCACTCTTCTTGACCATTTAACTCCTGCTTCCATCAGTGACCACAGCAGGCTACACATCACCCTTCTCTCACTTCTAGAACTCGAGACTTTTCAGTGGATTAGTAACTGCACAGAAACGGACCCACTATTGAATTCATTATTATTGCTACATGAGTAGGTGTTTAAAATGCCTTATACTTTACAGAAATCCTTGGTAGGTAGTTATATATGGTTATTTGGGGGAGATTGGCTTGAGGTTCTTTGAAGGGCTGGGAACATATTTTTTTGATTTAAAATAATGAAGCCTAGGCTCTGAAAATTCCATAAACTGTTTAGGAAAGGATGAGATTTCAAGAATGACAGGCGCCTCCATATATGTAGTATTTTCCCCTACATCTGATATGGAACTTTGGGTAAAATTTTGGGGGGTGGGGTGAGGAAGCCTCTCCCATAAAATGACTTTTTATTTTTTTATTTTTATTTAAAAAAAAATTTTTTTTTCAACGTTTATTTATTTTGGGGACAGAGAGAGACAGAGCATGAACGGGGGAGGGGCAGAGAGAGAGGGAGACACAGAATCTGAAACAGGCTCCAGGCTCTGAGCCATCAGCCCAGAGCCTGACGCGGGGCTCGAACTCACGGACCGCGAGATCGTGACCTGGCTAAAGTCGGACGCTTAACCGACTGCGCCACCCAGGCGCCCCTAAAATGACTTTTTAAAGACACTTGACATTTGAGAAGGTATCATCTGTGGTCTTCTTCTCAGGTATCACCTGAATTTGTCATTACCTTTACAGCATATGATTTCCTCCAGGAAAGTCCTAGATTCTAAGACCATCAGAGAGTCATGGTGTGGCGTGCTATCAGGGCCAAGGGGTAACTTCCACTCATCAGCCTCCAAACATATAAACCAGATTGATGTTTGAGAACATTTAAAATACGTATCTTGTAGACTTTGGGCTCTCTCTCGAATCATCAAAACTATAATAAATGTTAAATGTGTTAAAGATCTCTTGCAAGGATAGGAAGGAAACATGCTAAACCACATACACCTTCCTCACATTCCCATAAACCCCTCCCACTCCTCCCAAGTTAGAAGTCACTGTTACTAACAGGGTTCTGTGGTAGATCTCTCAAGTGTGTGGGGACAGAAGAAAGGCTGAGAATCACTCGCTATTTTTTATCTCCCTCTCCCCACTCAACACACAATTTGAAAGTGCTTTGCTTTTTTTTTTTCTTTTGAGGGAGAGAGCGAATGAGCACGAGAGCAAGAGGGTCAGCAGGAGGGGCAGAAGGAGGGGGCAGAACCTAAGCAGGTTCCATGCGAGTGTGGAGCCCAACCGTGAGTGAGATCGTGACCTGAGCTGAAACCAAAGTCAGACGCTTAACCGACCGAGCCACTCAGGCGCCCCATGAAAGTGCTTTGCTTTCTGATGAAGAAATTTTCTTTTAACTTGGACGACAATTCGATGCCTCTTATCTCTTTTCAGGAATGTAAGCGTTTGAAAGCAGAATGCCTTTGCTTCCATGATCTGATCAGAGATTATGAAGATACAGTTCCTCCCTTTGGTTTGCATACAGTTAAGTTGAGCAGATACAGGTCAATGGTCAGTGTGCCACTTAAGTATTCAAGAAGAGGTGAGTGTGTGCAACTTAACTCGGCCGGGGAGGGGGGGGGGGAATTAAGTGCTTCCGGGAAGTGACTTTTGAGCTATACAGGCATTAGGAGGACAAGAAAGGGTAGGTCCATTCCAGGTACCTAGGGATCTGTGATCTGTGGCTTGTTTACAAATTGTGAATTACACAGAAGACAGGGTCAAGTGTCTTCTGCCTTTCTTCAGAGGTCTGTCCTTCTGAGGATAGTGCTCCTCTTGTTTTTCTTCTCTCTCCCTGTCCTTCTTCCCCTTAATTGGATGGATGTTGAGGATAGAAAAGAAGTCAGAGGGGAGGCATCTTTCTGAGTGGCAGAGCAATAGGACAGGTTTACCAAGAAATAATGATTGTACTCAGGAAATCCATCTCTAAAAACTGCGTTCCTGCTTTGTTAAAATGCACAGCTGGGAAACCTCAATTTTGTTGATTGATTGCTTTCCCAGTGAATGGATTATATTCTTGTCTCTAATCCAGTCTTTTCGAATTTAGGGGCCTCTCTTAAGCCCACATCTAGACCTAGGAATGAGCATGGGGGAGGCAGCAAAATCAGAACCCAAGTTCATACTACAAAAGCATTTTTGTTGGCTATAACTGAGTGACTGCGTGTTGTTTGACCTGCAAGCTGGGTAGTTGAATTGTCATTCAAATCAATGATCGTTTAATTCCACTAGGATCTGATGAAGGTGGAACTAGGCAGAAAAACCTGATTCTGTCAAAGTCTGGGGAGAATGACGAAAAAGCAATCAATCAGTGAATCGGGCTTAATTTTTTTCTGGGACTGGGACTAGCAGGAAACAAGCAGTGAAGTGGAAGACACGACAGGCGTGACAAGAACTGGCGCCTGTGCACTAGCAGCTCTAAAGTAATTACTCACTCGGGGCATCCATCGTGCCCAGCTCATCATCACGCTCCTCCTTCTAGGAGACCTGCTGACGGAGAAGGTGCTGACTGGCCGGAATCTTCTTCGCAAATCCTGAACTCTCATCTTGCATTTAGATTCCTTAACCATGGATTGCAGGGAAGCACGTGTATGTTAGCGTTCCAGTCTCTGAATACTCGAAAAGTAGTTAGTTATCTAAAAGTAATCAACTAGCATTTCTTTCGTGTCTTGACGTGCTAGAGGACAGTGTTTCAAAGGCTGGACTTGGTCTTCTGGAGACTAAGAAAATAGAGTCCTTGAAGTCAAGCCGACTCTGCTGTTAGCCTCCTAAATGAAAAGGTAGATAGAACAGGTCTTGTTTACAAAACAAATTCAAGACCTACTTATCTACCAACAGCATTTATACGTATAGTGTGGTCTTGCTGTGGAAAATAGGAACAGTAAATTGAGAGATTAGAAAGGGTGGGAAAAGGCACTGAACCCACAAGACTCTTCCTGTACTAACTGATAGGAAGGTGGCTGGAAATTGGAGAAGTTGTTCAGGAAAGCGGAGGACGGGACCTTTCCCGTAGTGCAGCCTTCGGAGGGTCCAGCAGGTTCTCTGGTAGCTAAGCCTCCTTGGACAGAGACGAGCGGATCTCATTTACAGAATGCCATGTCATGGTGAATTGTGCTGCGGGCAGCTGCCAGTGTGAGCCGTGTAAGGTTATGATTCTGACAAATATTGAGAGGATGAGAAGCATTAAGGAAAAGGCCTCATTGCCCATGCAATCACTCTGCTTTATACTGGTCACCGTGCTTGTGCTTCAGAAAGATTTTATTGGGTGTGTACAAGCAATGATTGCATATCATTGTCTGAATCAGCAGGAAGTCCATTAAACACACTTTTCCAAATAAAAGGCAATTTCATTTTATCGGAAACCCGGTGTCTCTGACCAACTTTCCAGTCCCATCGAAGGGTGCCTTAAATTCTGATTTTTCTGAATTACTAAGCCCATGTTAGTTTACACTAAGATTCTGTGGTTATTTTACGTAGTCTCCCCTTTGTTGAGGGAAGCCAAAACTTATGTTAATAACCTTCTCAAGAGTTAGAAAGTAATACAGGTAAAGCTAGGAAAAGAACAGATTGGTATCTTTTGTTTTATCTGCAGTGTCAGGGATTGTGGCTACAATATTCTGACTTTTTAAAAATCCGTTTTGTTTTTTGTTTTGTTTTTTAACAGATATATCAGCAGGTTGCAGCTGAACATGGCCTTGAGGTAAATCCTGCCCCTGTTGAAATTTGATTTCAGCAGATTATTCATGGTAATTTAGGAACTGGAATATTTTACAGAAAAAAAAAAAAGTTTCGTTTGGTTCTGTTCTATTTTTTCTTCTCCTAGAAGAACCATGTTTAAACAAAACTTCACTATGCTGAAGAACTGTGATGCTTTAAGTTGGTCATCTGCCTCATTTTAAAGTAAGTGAATTTTATATGTCAGCACAAATTCTAGATGTTTTTTTTCTTGATCAATAAAACTTTTACTCAAACCTTACAGGTGTCGAGTTTTTAATCGTTTTATCCACGTTCAGGTTACATGTGAAATATTCCATAAAGCCTTTAGAGTGCTGAATTCAAATTTGCCGTATCCGTGATAGCCTACCTCCTGCTTGGTAGTTTCTGTTGCAGTGGCTAAGCTTGGTTTTGAATATGCACACATGTATATTCTGTTTGTAACTTGAACCATCTCTGTGTTTACATTGGCCGTCCCTTCCTTATCTCAGGGTAGTAAGACTGTCAAGTTGTTAATTCAGGAATCTGAGCCGCCATGTGTATCAACAGGCAGGGTTTTGAGACAGGCGACTTGAGAGGCGTTCATCGCATCAGACTCTGTGCTGGAAAACACTAAAGTTTTAGATCACAGGATTTTCAGTTCCCACGAAACCATGAGTGATGAGACACGGGGCGTATCTGTGCAGAGGGGCATCCGCGGGGCGGAACAAAACGGTCTGAGAACTGCTTCACAGGCAGAGTCCCCTGCTCTGCACCCACACGTCCAAGCTCGAAGACGCAGTGTGCAGAGCTTTAGGTGGCAGCTGGAGAGCCGAGCGGAGAACCAGGAAGGCAGCCCGCGGGGCCGGTGCTGTGGGCACAGGAGGGCATGACAGCAGAGAGCAGGAGGCCCCAGAGCTGCTGGCCCAGGGGCCACTTTGCACACCGGTGCTCAGCTTTAGCCTTTGGCGGGCGAGGTTCTCTCTCCCGAAGCTGCCACACATTTGCCATACGTTCTATATCGTGCGCTCCCGTGTTCGTCATTAAATCTCCCAGTCTATTGAGTCTAGTCTATTGAGGCTAGTGCTATTTTTTCTTTGTTTAAAGGGACACGGGAGCTCTGGAAGATCATGTGACTCCTTGCAGAGTAGCTACAGAGGAGCCATCAAACCTCGGTCTTTTGATTTCCAGTCTGGTTCTCTCCACGTGACAGGACAGTTCCTAGAATCAGTTGTGACTAACGTTCTCTGGTTTTTCCCGCGTTAGCCCCCGCTCCCTCTCCCGATGCGCTGAAAGTGCCAGGTTTATGTGTAGGCCGCTGCGGGACGTGAAGTGCGTAGTGGAGCGTTCCATTTTGCCCAGTCTTGCCATCAAGCCGCAGGTGCCCTTCTGTTCCTTCAGACTGCCTCCCCTCCAGGTTTTCTCCGTCTCCCTGCCGTACGTCCTTTGCTGTGGTTTGGAAAGAGCCCCACCGTCCCTCGCACGGAGAGCAGAGAGCCCGACAATGGTGGTTGGATGAGGAAGATAACTAATTTATTCAGTATTTGGTGTGTACCGTTTGTTACACGTTAGTCCTTAGGGACCGAATGATGAACAAGACAGACACTGTCCCTGCCTTCATGGAAGGGCGCACGGTAGAGGTCATTTCAAAGTTTGGGGTAAGTTCTGTGAACGAGGGGAACAGGTGTGACAGCGTGCTCAGTGCCAGAAACCGCATCACAGTGCCATTAACTCCCGGGAAAACAGAAGGCGCGTGGCTTCCCTGGTTCTCTGTGGACAGCCTCTTGCCTTCTGGAGTCTGTTCCTGGCTGACTCGCAAGATGTCCCGGGTGTGCCACGGCCACTAGTACTTATGTATCTCTTCCCTCCCTTGCCCCTGCCCCCACGCTCTATAGGCCTTGGACTTTCAGATACTTTGCATATAAACAAACAGACCGATACAGTTTGACCACCTGAAAGGCCTGGAGTTCATTTTGTCTGAGCCCTCATTTTACAGCAGCGCCTGGTAATGACTAACCTAACATCTTACAGGTGGCAGTGCGCAGGGCTAGAAACCTGTGCTTGAACGCCAAGTTCAACCAGCTGAGGGGTGGCCGGCTTGGAGGGGTGGGTACAGAAGAGAGGGAGCTGGCATCAGAATGGTCTAGTAGAAAGTGACATGCTTTGGCATTGAAATGCCATTATGTATCTTCAGACACCCAGGCTTTTCCAAAGAAAAACAGGGATGCACAAATTGGTGAAGCTGACAACTAAACGTGTACAGATGCTGAGAAATGTCCGCATTGAAAAATGACAATTTTGAATTTTCATAGTCTAGCAGAATGCCGATCTTCCTCGGGGAGACAGTTATTCTTATATCTGGAGTCATCCCGTTGTGCAGGAACTCATACTTATGCCTAGAAATTAAATGTTGATAGGACACAGCTTCAGAAGTTCTGTAGATGCGCTATTTACAGAACATTTCGTATTAGTTTTCAAATAATGCTGCGATCGTGTTTTTTTTTTTAATTGACTACCAAAGTAACGGTTCATTTCCCAACATATCTGTCTCTTTTCTAAAATTTGTCCTAAGAGACCTCTCTTTTTAAACACCATTTGTTTTTGATCAATTTCTTCACCTAAGAGACTTACATACACTCTTACTGCATCAAAGTTTGTATAGAAATTGGTGTTTTAAAACTTGGGATTTTAAGGTTCAAATGTATAAAGCCTTCATAATAAAGATGTTTGAACCGGGGAGCCCCACGATCTTTCATGTAATAAAATGTGCCTTTTGGTATAACCTGTGCACAGGTACTCAGGCATGATCCTTAGACCTTCCGACTCAGCAGGGCCAGCCGGGGCCGTCACCGCCCCCGCAGCCTAGCCCAGCACCCTCTCCCCGTGCTCTGTAGCCTGGGTGCTTTGAAAAAATGGCTGGAACCCAAAGCAGCCACGGGAACTTCCTACCCCTGCTACCTACAGATGTCTGCAGAACACGGTGCCAGCAAGCTGGGCCACACGCCTGGGAGGAGCACTTGGAATATGGTCTCGGTGTCAGAGAGAGCCAGCCTGGCTCCGGCCCCGCTCGCCTCATCTTCCCCTCAGCTCCCTTCCTTAGCTAAGCAGCCGCCAGAAGCCAGGAGCCAGGAAGGCGCTGCCCTCCACCTTCTTCCCACTACAGCACCAGACGAAAGCAAAAACTGCAAGTCAGCTAGGATACCTTCCGTATCCTGTCTGTCCTCTGTCTGTAACTCTGTCCTCTGTCTTTCCAAGGTGGGGCCACAGAAGCGGCCAGGCCTAGTGCCTGGCTTTTTGCCCATCCTTTTTCACGCTGTCTCATGTTTCCATCCTCTTCTGTCTTCTGACCTTTCAACCCTCCCACCGTACACAGACTCCTACTCTTCCTTTATCCTCCCCGTTCTCCTCTGCCCTTCGTTCTTCCCTCTCTAGGAGAGGATACTTTGATTTTTAGCCTTATTACACTTCGGGCAGAATCTCCAAATAAACTATTCGGCTCAGTGCCTACTATTTCCTGTGTTTCTCAGACTGGGTCTGAGGATTGGTAGAGTCCATTCTAGTCCAAGTACCTTACGGGGGGGGGGGGGGTCTTCCCACGTATGCGCGGGCATGACGGGTAGTGTTTAATTAACCACGATGGAGGTTCCCCAGCAGAGAACGCAGGATCAAACATGCATAAGATACAGCAAGCCAACAAGGGTCAGAGGCCCCGTGGTACAAGAGATGCTGGGGAGACGGTGTGAATTTTTGTAATTTTTGAGGTGAAGGGAGGTTGTAACAGTGGCTTCCCAAGTCTGAATATGTCCACGGGACTGCACCTCATCAGGTTTTCCCAGCTTTCTAGAACTGATCCACGCGTAGAGGACAGAGTGCTTGGCAGCAGAAGCAAAACAGAATGAGCCATGACTATTAAGCCACTGCCTACTTGCAAAGATGGAATTGGGGCTTCAGATCAAACTGTAACCATTTAATAACACAAGTTGAGCATGAATGAAAAGCCAATCACTTAGTGCTTAAGAATGCTGTCTCTGGAGCCAGACTTCCTGGACTGGATTCCAAGCTCCAAAAATCCACGTCGGACGGATTATCCAACTGCTGGGAGGCATAGCCGATTTTTAAAATGGGGTGATATAATTGTGAGAAGTAAACAGGACAGGACATGGGAGCAGCGCTTGGCACGGAATAAGCTCTCCGTGAATTGTAGCTATTTCTGTCTGAAAGAAAAGTACCCAAAGCTGCTCTTTTCTCGTCTCATTTGGACTTTAGGGGAAAGGGCTGGAAAAGAGCCCTGAGGTATCTTAGAATATTTTATGAAACCTACTCTAGGCCTTAGTTATTGCTAGTGAAACCTCGTGCTCTCTTCTTTCAAGGCCAATTTTAGTATCAGGCATCCAGATTCTACTTTACCGTGATGATGCAAGTCTGTGCCTCATGCACCAAGACAGGCAGTTTGCTCCCAGGTCCTCTTGTTTAGGGACATCTTCAAAGGCCACACCCACCGTGTAGTGGGACCTCTCGTCCACCTCCACCTCCCAGTAATGGCGCCCTCGGATTGGAATGAGATTCCCCATGACGGCAACACACCTGGGTTCAGAAAGTGGAAGCGTGCGTCACCGGGGGCGCCCCGAGCCTGGCCGTGCGGGGGCGGGGGGGGGGGACAGCCGTGGGGGTCGGCCCAAAGGTGTTCCGAACACCTCCTTTGAGAAGCGGCTCGCCCTCGGCTCACCTGACAGATGCCGAAGTTTGTGGGAGAGTTCTTAGCCTGCCGGTAATGGGAGCGAGTTACAAAAGGCTCTATTGGCATTTGTAAATGATTGGGCTCTTTTTTTTTTTTTTTGGTAACAAAAATAAAGATTTGGTTCACTTGCTCATAAAAAAAGAAAGGGACTCCAGGTGCCTGGGTGACTCAGTGGGTGAAGCATCTGACTTCGGCTCAGGTCAGGATCTCACGGTTTGTGGGTTCGAGCCCCACGTCGGGCTCTGTGCTGACAGCTCGGAGCCTGGAGCCTGCTTCGGATCTGTGTCTCCCCCCACCCTCTCTCTACCCCTCCCCTGCTCACGCTCTGTCTCTCTCTCTTTCAAAAATAAACATTAAAACAAACAAACAAAAGGGACTGAAACTTCACAGAAACTCAGCACAGTCAAGGGAACCATGTACTTGAAGTTCAGGAACCGGCCAGCACTGCTGATACACTAGCATGGGGGGCTTTGAGGTGACGCCTATCTGCGGGGTGGCTACAGGCAGAAGACGAGGATCTGGATCTCAGAAGCAAACCTGAGAACAGCAAATAGCAAATCCCTCACCAATGATCAAAATCGACCTCCAAGAAGCCACTGGAAACAAATACACTCACAAAGGTCACAGTTATGTTTTGTTTTACAACAATACAGCATTCTTCAGAGGAAGGTTCTCATGGGAAACCAGACCACATCAGTATCTCTGAAACGAACAGTCTGCCTCCTGCAGGAAACTTCTGCATTAGCCAAACTGAGTGCCCACCCCCCGCCAAGCCCCTGGGCAGATTTGTTTAGCTGTTATTAACACGAGATCTCTACTCTCAAACCCCAAGTTCTGGAGGCCAAGCAAAGCTCTGGGAAGGAGACTGCACAGAAAATAGCTCCTCTTTTGTAAAATGAAGCCGTCTCTACTCTCAGCTCGGGACCCACATCTCCACCCACCTGCTGTCTCTCATTCGGAATGTCCCGAACGGAACTTACCACATTCCTACCCTTCCCACCGCCGACCAAACTTGGTGTTTTGCTTGTGGTGGGAAGGAGTACTTACTCCCCGTGTTTTCTCCGTTTTGGTTAATAGATTCATGATCTACCCAGTAACCCAAGGCAGAAAACAGTAACCCAAGGATAATGTAGTGGTTACACGCTCAGCTTCTAGCTTAAATCTGACTTCAGCCCTTAACAGCAGTGTGCCTTTGGGCAAATTACTTTACTTCTCTGTGCCTCAAGGGTCTCACCTGTCAAACTGGACTGATAATGATATGGATGTCACAGGCTGTCGTGATGATTCCATGAGCTAATCCATGTCAAACACTTGGAAGATGTCTAGCACTTGGCAAACACGCCATAGATTACAGTCCCTGACCCATCCCTCCCCTGCTCGCCCCTTAACCCGTTGGCCTGTCTCCTTGTTAGTTTTGTGTGTTGCTGATTTACTCAAGGCGTCCACAGCCTCCTCTCTGGTCTCCTGGCTCCCCACCTGCCTCTCCCCCTCCTCCCCAGCTCACACTTGACCCTCCAGTGTGATCCTTCTGAATGTAAATCTGATCGGGTCACCTCCCCTACATGAACCCTCCAAAAATTCCCACCCCTCCGAGGATAAGATCCAAACTTGTTTTGCCCCGGAACTTTTCCGTCTTTCCTGCCTTGTCTTCCCCTTCTTCCCATTATGGAGCCTACACCACAGACACGCTAACCGATAGCAGTTCTCCAAACACGTGGTCTCCCTGGCTTCCGCCGTTTGTACACGTATGAGGCACTTAATCTGCCTGGTCGGCCTGGAGAACCCCCTTTTGTCCTTCAAGCCCTTGCTTCCCCAGGAAGCCTTCTTCCTGGGGGCTCCTACGATGCCTTGGCCATACTTCTACCGAATCTTTCACAGGTGTGCTTTTGACACATGCATCTCCCCCACCTGCCTGGTCTGAGTCAGGTGGGCAGGGACACCATCTTCCTCTCTTTACCTCCAGGGCACAGCATGGTCCTCACGGGACAATGGATATACTGGTGACAGGATATTGAAATGGGACTAACTTGGCTGGACCCCAAAGAGCCAAGAACAAAACAACAGGTGGTGACTTCTCCCATATTTCCAGGTGACGTGCTGCACCACCTCTGCGGGACTTGGTGACCAAACACTCTTAACTTTTAGTGCAACACCAAGCGGCCGAGGCTGAAGACGCTCGAGGCTGTGTCTGCCCAGAGAGCGTTCACACGCACTGTGAGGCGGCAGTGGCTTGGTCAGAGGTGTGTGCCTTCAGAGGACCGGGTGTGAACGGAACCCACTTCAGGAAAGCTGCCTCTGCGTTGTTTGTGGGGGGGATCCTGTCCAAGAGAGCTGCCTGTGAGGGCCCAGGAGGGCTCGGCAGAAAGAGCGAGAACCATAGCACTGGGTGTGGAGGTGGACGGGTTGTGAGGGGCTCACCTGGGAACTGCCGGGGAGAGAGAGTCAGCTTCCCACATCACACTGGTACCAGTCAGGTACCCCCAGGCTAAAAGCAGGACAACAGGCCCCCAAATGGAGCCCGTCACGCTAAGCCCCACGTCTCCAAACCGAGACACCTCCGTTACAGTTCGACTCTCCCAGAAATGGGATCTTCAACCAACCAGGAATCGCCTGACGAGCACCAGTGAGGGGATGTGCCTCGCAGACCCTGCTGTCCCCTGCAGGAAAGGAACCTCGCCACAACCGCCCGCTTCTTTGCCTACTGTAACTTGGCCCATAAGCGTCTTTCATCTGTACAGCTCCTGAGAGCTCCCGTCTACCTGTTAGACTGAACGATGTCCGTTTCATAACTCCTGGAATAAAGCCGTAAGATCTTTAAAATCTATTCAGTTGAATTTTTTTTTTTTTTTTTTTAACACAGGTAAGGCCTTTATCTCTCCATGTCCCTCTCCATGCCCTGCAACCCTGGGTAGAATGGGCAGAGGTGGGAAAAGGATCAAGTCGCTTTCCACTGTACCCTGCGCACTGGGGCTACTGCATGCTAACACTTACATATAGTAGGTGCTACACACACACACACACACACAGTAAAAAGGGCGGCAGGGAGCCAACGCCAGAGGAAGAGCCATCTCTGGGATAGTCTCGGACCCCGGCAGGGAGGCTGATGCAGTTTCTTTCTTCTCTTCCTTTCTTTCAGCTTTTTTTTTTTTTTTTAATGCTTATTTTTGAGAGAGAAAGAGCGAGTTCGAACAAGGGAGGGGCAGAGAGAGAGAGGGACACAGAATCCGAAGCAGGCTCCAGGCTCTGAGCTGTCAGCACAGAGCCCGATGCGGGGCTCAAACCCACGAACCATGAGATCATGACCCGAGTTGAAGTCAGATGTTTAACAGACTGAGCCACCCAGGCGCCCCTGGATGAAGTTTCTATCCGTGGCCCTTGCAGCCCCATTGGAGAGCCCCCTTTTCTCCTTAGAAGATCCTTCTGACTCTAAAACCAACCGACCGAGAACTCTTCTTGTCCTGACCAGACCAGGAAGCTGAGAGCCACCTGTAATCCCGGAAATGGAATGCGCTCTTGGAGTTAACCTATCTGTGTTCTTTTTCTCCCATTGCTTTGACTTTTCTATTTCAGCAGTGTATATCTGCGCCTTATTTTAAGTCTTTAAGTCTTTGGAAAGAAGTGAGGCACAAATAAATCGTTTCAATGTGGATTGAGCACCAAGGTCTGGAAATAGCTACATTTCTAGACAGACAGCGCACACGCCTTTGCAGGGGCCACCCCTCCCTCAGGTCATGCACTAGCACCACCCCCCACCGACTCCGCACAGGCTAACCCCACCGGTTTTCATCAGGGGTTTTTAAACAGGGCTTCCCCGTGTAGGAGAGGAGCGCCGGGCCAAGCACTGGGAGACCTACAGCCTTGTTTCCGCTCTCCCAACGCCTGTCAGTGTGCCCCTCATCGTGGCTTCAGGGTCTGACTCCTCCAGCGGCGGGGGACCCGACTTCAGAAGCCACAACAGGTATCTTCCGTCCACACCAGCCAGACTCTTCCCCCGACTCCAGCTCCCCACCCTCCCCTCCGCCCCCCCCGCCTCCTCTCCCCACCCCCCCCCACCCCAGCCTCTCATCCATTTCTGGGACCTCTTCAAGGCAGCGTCTGTCATAACCCACTTTTTATCTGAGCGACAACGTGTCTTAGAGGGGGTCCGCGGAATGTTCTAGCGAGCGGCTGCCCAAGTACCTGGTAAACCGGGTGTTGCCAGGGAGCGGCTCCTTTGCTGGGGTTTTCCTTTCGCTCCGCACGACCGTAAACCCATCTTCAGAAATGGTCAGCCCGGGATGGCAGGTGTGCTGGTTCAGGTGGAAGAAGCTGCCTGTGCGGGCAGAACACACGAGGAGCCCCACCAGTCCCCCTGCCTTCTCCACCCCGGCGCCAGCCGAAGCCCGGGGCCTCGCCAAGTCCTACCCCTCCTGCCACTAATGATGGTGGCAGCGAGCATGCACTGGGAGCCACTGTCCCTCGCCCCCAGCTAGCGGTTTGCAAGTCTTCCCTCGTTCAAGCCTCACAATTACCCTCAGAAACGCGTTCTTATTTCCATCTGGAGAGGAGAAAACTGACGCACCAGGTGGTTAAAAAAAAAATCACCTGGCAAGGCACCTGGGTGGTGCAGTCCTGATCTCGGCTCAGGTAATGAACTCACGGTTCACGAGTTCGAGCCCTGCATCGGGCTCTGTGCTGATGGCAAAGAGCCTGTATGGGATACTGTGACTCCCTCCCTCTGCCCCTCCTACTCTCTCTCTCTCAAAATAAATAAATGTGGGGCGCCTGGGTGGCTCAGTCGGTTAAGCGTCCGACTTCAGCTCAGGTCATGATCTCACGGTCTGTGAGTTCGAGCCCCGCATCGGGCTTTGTGCTGACAGCTCAGAGCCTGGAGCCTGTTTCGGATTCTGTGTCTTCCTCTCTCTCCGCCCCTCCCCTGTTCATGCTCTGTCTCTCTCTGTCTCAAAAATAAATAAATGTTAAAAAAAAATTAAAAAAAAAATAAATAAACGAACTTAAAAAAAAAATCAACTGGCAATGACAGAACTAACATTTGAACCCCCAAAACTCTCTGATTCCACAGGCTTTGCTCTTAGCTGGGAGGCTATAAGTGCCTGCACACGGACAAGAATTTCTAACCCACCTGCCAAGGGAAATAGTTATTGAGATTCTTAAGGACCAATCTGACAAAGGGAAGTGGAATTCAACATTTCACTGAGGGCAGTGGGGCGGGGGAGAGGGAAGGATGTTGCAGCCATCCCCAAATCATGGTTAAAATAAATCTCATCCAACAGTGGTACAGAATAGATTGAATACAAAGTTATTCAGTAAAAAAAAAATTATTTAGTAAAAAAATCCATTAATTAAGAACATAATAACTCATTCTCATTACTGTGTCCTAGCCAAGTGCTTTTTTCTCGAGTTCCTATTCTGTCACTTCTCTTGTCTCACACCTGGGTTCAAGCTTCGCCATCAAGCTGTTCACAATTGTTGTCACAGTTTGATGCTGCCAGAAATTTCATTCGCTGTCTGCGCTGACTGGCAAGGGGGCAGGCAGGTTCCCACCACCTAACTGATGCAACACGTGGGCCCTCGCCAGTTCCCACCGAGGATCATTTTTGAAAATATAATGATTTTTGCCGATTTGTGTTCATTTAAGTTTTTCATATAGACACTCTTTTCTTCCATTTGATTTATTTTGGAGGGAGAGAGAACGAGCATGCAAGGGGGGAGAGTGGCAGAGGGGGAGAGAGAGAGAGAGGGACCCAAGCAGGTTCCGTGCTCCGTGCACAGCCCGACGCAGGACTCCATCCCACAACCCTGGGATCACGACCTGAGCCGAAACCAAGAGTCAGACACACTCCACCAACTGAGCCACCCAGGCGCCCCTTCATAAATACACCCTTCAAAAAATTATATGAACAAACTAATTCCGAGATGACTGAATAATCAAGAGCTGGCTGTACCTTTGGCTCTGTTTTTTTTTTGTTTGTTTGTTTGTTTGTTTGTTTTTTTTGACTGAAACTGCCGGAATTTAACATTTCAAAACACCAGGTGAGCACAGAAAATGAGGAGTGCCAGCCAACTAAAGGCAGGCCCTGGCTCAATATGAAAGAAAAACCTGAGTCCTAATCCCAGCACTAGCCCCCACCCTCTGGGACCTGTGGTGGCCACCCAACCTGTCTTTCCCATCTGTGTGGACGGAGCACAGTGGGAATTAATCACACACCTCTGCTCCTGGCATTGGAAACGAGGACAAAGTGACACAGTGTCCCTCAGTAAACGACCCCACTTAAGAATACGTCGTCCCCAGAGCCTGGGCTCAGACTCCCTGCCTCTGTGTCCTACCTGCCCTCCACCCGTCAGCCGGCCTGAGCTGGACTGGCTGTGAGGTGGGGGAGGGGTCACCGGCCCCCGGTGTGCTGTGACAGAGCGCACACCCACAGCGAAGCAGTGCCAGGGAAGTGGGTGCATGCAAAGCTTCCGGTGACGTCTCTGCTCACGCAGGGTCTGGACAGGATGTGTGACCGTTGTACGGATGACGGCAAGGGACAAGGGAAAGGGGCTAGACCTAGGGATGCGGGCGCCCGCCAGGGCCAGACAGGGCCTAGGAAGAGGCTGAGCAGCCGGGTCCAAACTGGGCCTGTGGGTGGGAGACGCTTGGGCTGATAGCGGAAACGGGGATGAGCAAAGCCAACAACCCCTCCTGGGAATCTCATAAAGACATCATCCCAAGGGTGGCGTGCAGCCTGTGTGAGCCACGAGGCGTCTGGGCCACCCAGGTCCAGGGCGACAAGCCTCTGGTCTGCCTGAGGGGGCGGAGAAAAACCCTAAGTTCGGATTCTCACTCTGCCGCCAGACTGCTATCTGGCTTGGGTCTTCAGTCCCTCTGTCTGTAAAATGGGACCACAGGGCCCTGATCTCCCCTGAGCCCCTCCCCGGCCTGACTTGGCCCATTTTCCAGAGAAGTCATGCAGTGCTGGTCTGCCGCAGAGTGGCTCCCTGAGGTCTCAGGGAGCGTGAGGCCCGGGCACATACCTGTGGTGTAGACGGTCACGGGGTCGCTCCTTGCACTGGGGCCCCCCACGCTGAGGGCTCGCACGTAGATGGTATAGCGCTGCCTGGGCTGCAGCTGCACCAAGGCCTCGCGGGTCGGGATGCCCACGACCGACCTGGGCAAAGAAACGGAGCCACAGTCACGAGGGGTGGGGCCGGGCAGCCAGGCCCCGGCACCGGGCCTCCCTTCCAGAGCTGGGATTTTAAACTCACCCTCGCACCCCCAGCCTCTCACCCACAGCGGCACAGCCGGTGGGTTTCCTCCCGCAGGTCCACTTTCCTCGTTCCCTCGTTACTCCTCGTGTCCGTGGCCCTCCGGCCTCGGGGCTCCCCACCCTGGTGTCCCCGGCACCCGGCACCATGCTCGGCGTCTGTCTCCCGCTCTGCCCCCAGCTGTCTGACAGTTGAGAACCTCTCCGAGGGCAGCGGCTGAGTACCGCCTGCCTCAGCCCAGCGCTGAGCCCGCAGCAGGTACCTCGGCCTGTGTTTATGAACAGACATCTCTAGAAGAGCTGGAAGGGCAGCGCAGAAGCCCACTGGGAACCTAACTTATTGAAATTCTACCGCACACGAGTACAAGCCTGTAATTGCCACTGTCTGTTCCTGCAACTGCTAAAGCCCTTTCAGTCCAGGGGAAAGGAGAAGCTTTTGGGGTGACGCCCGTTTACGGATGCAACACCCCCATTACGCGAGCCTGGGTGTCCAGGTGATCCCGAAGGCTGCAGCTCCAGGCCAGAGGGGCGCTTTTCACGCATCCGTCCAATGAATATTAACCAAGCCCCTTAGGTTCCAGACACTGGAGAGGGGGGCTCTGGGGAGAACTGAATGTAGTCTCTGCCCTCATAGACCTCATGGTCCAGATGGGTAGAGAGGCACCCCGCAGAGTGGATGATGCCGGAGACGTGAGTTTGGAGCTGAGCTCTCAAGAATGACTTGCAAGTAACCGGATGAAGCAGGGACAGGAGTCTCCTACACAGAAGCAGCCCGGGGCAGGAAGGAACACGGGAAGCAGGAGGAACTAAACCCGACTGGCGTGGCTACAGCCAGACAGGGAGGGGAAGCCGGTGTGGCATGAGCTAGAGAAGCAGGAGAGGGGTACGGTCTGGGAAGGAACTTTCTCCTCTTCAAGATGATTAGATCTGGAGAGCAGGTGCTACCCCACGTCACTGACCAGCCTCCCGGTGACCCCCATCATTATGGTCCCAGGTGTCAGGCGCTCCTGAAGCATCAGCACAAAGCGCAAAGGAAATCTGGATCATCAGGTGGCCAGAACCACTGGACTCCCCTGCCCCACTCCTGAGTGTCGTGGGAGTAAATAACCAAGGTCGGCCCTGATGTGGCCGTGGACACGTGGATTCTACCTGGCACAGAGGGTGCGTGGGATAGACGGCCAGGCTCCAAGCCCAGCCCTGAGCACAGAGGAATCTGTCCTCCCTGACAGGTGACGCCAAGCCCGCCTCCTCCATTTCTCCAGAACCAGGCGGGCGCCCTCTGTGCTCCGCCTCTGGGCAGCCCCTGGACGTGGGGGCTGCTCCCGGACTGCCTGGGTCTTGCCTCACTCCCGCCCCGGGGCCACGCCGCTGACCCACTGTCCTCAGAGCTCAGTCCTTCCTACCCATCCGGGTCTCATTTGAAAAGTTCACTCCATCCACGGAGGTCCCTACTTCCACCCCAGCCTCCTTCTTACATTTCTTTCTCCTTCAGAGCCCCTTGCATTTTATGTATTTGTTTGTCTTCTTGTTGTCTATTTGCCCCTGCTCGACGGTCAGCTCCGTAGGGAAGGGAATTTGCCTGCCTAGTCTCCCAGAGCCCGGGCCCAGGTCCAGGCCCACATCACTTGTTGAATGAATGAGCGGTAAACCTTCGCTGGACTAGAAAAGCAAACCTGAGGTTTAAACCATTTACTCACGCCTCACGCACCTTCAGTGACCGTGTTCAAGAAACTTCTCATGAAAACCAAGCACCCGAAATTAAGGTTCCAAACGCTGACCTTCTCTCCAGACCCCGTGCATTTCCTGCACTGTGTCACTGTGTCAGGTGTCATGCCCCCCCCCCCCCCCCCCCCCCCCGCCCCATGACTATGACTTACTCAGTTACTCCCGAGGCTTCAGGACTTTCCGCCTGGGTCAGCTCCACCGTGTACGAGTCCACGGGGTTCAGGTTCCCAGACTCCCAGCAGATCAGTGCAGCCTCTTCGCAGCTCCGTATCTCTTTGCTTTTTATAACGGGAGGGGAGGGGGCTAGGTGTGGGACAAAGGGGGGAAGGAATGACCATTCTGCTCCTATCCAGCCAGTTTGTCCAGAGCACGGCCAACCGAGCACGACCACTGTCTGCCCACAGAAGACATTCGGTGCCGTAAAAAGGAAACCAGGTGCAAGAGACTGAGTATTTGCATCCCCCCCCCACCCAGAATTCGTGTGTTGAAGCCTGTTCCCCAAAGTGGCGGAAGGTGGGGTCTTTGGGAGACGAAGAGGAGGGCGTCTCTCGTCAAAGAGAACCCAAAGAGCCCTGGGCCTCTTTCTGTTGTGTGAGGACAGAGCCGAAACCAAGCCAGATGTCTACGGACCCGGAAGGCTTCACATCAGGCGCTGAATATGCTGGCAGCTTAAAAGGAGGCCCCTTTCAGCTTCCAGAACGGTGAGAATTAAATTTCTGTCATTGATAAGCCACTCGGTCTATGGTGTTCTGTCATGGCCGCCCACACGGACTAAGACGCCGGGAACGCCTTTCAGACGTTCCTGGAGCAGAAGGCGGCTGAAAGGTTAAATGACACTACGATCGTGAGCAGTAATTTTGGGCATTTTGAGACCAACTCTGAGCAAACGTCCCTTCCATCCTAGGAACACTGGTTTGGTGTACTAACAGAGAAAAACGGACAGCTACTCCTGCCCTTCCACATGAAATCAAGTGTCCCGCCACACCTCGAAAGCCGTGTGACTCCCGTGGCCCCCATTACCTGTCATGTACATTGCACGCTCACTGGCGGGGCTGCGGCCGGCCCTGTTCTGAGCTGTGACCCAAAATTCATACTGGGTGTTTGGCACAAGATTTCTCACTGAGCAATATGTTTCTTTGACAGTCATTGTAAACTCTGAAAAACAAACAAAAAGACAAGAATTCAACCCTAAAAATAGGCCAAGTGGCTCCGAGTTAGTTGTGTCGAATCTCCCTGTAGTAGATCACAACACTGGCCATAAATTCCTCCCATCCCTGTATGCGTCCTCTGCAGTATGACTTACTACTCCTTCAAGAGGGTCATTTTTCCCCCGTCATTGATGGGTTGAGCCATGTGACTTGCTTCAGCCAATGAGACAGCAGCAAACATGATGCCAGCAGAGGCCTGGGAAATGCTAGTGCACAGGGGCTTGTCTTCTTGCTGCTGGGAACACCTTCCACTTTCATGTGAACAAGCCCGAGCCAGGGTCCTGGACAATGAGACCCAGTAGACAGAGGCCCCAGCCTTCCCTGCCGTATCCCCACATCTGTAAGTGAGGCCATCCCACACCATCCAGCTCTATGTAGCCAAGCTGGCCCGGACCAGAAGAATGTCCAGACAACTCACAGAATTATAAGAAATAATAAATGTTTGTCATTTTAAGCAAATAAGTCACGTATATGTGTGCAGAGTAGGGCAGGATAGGGTGTTGTTACCCAGCAACACCTAACTGATACACCTCTAAACCTCCTCAGACTCTTGAAAGGCAGTGATAACTCACTAACCCACCCTCTGATATCAGTTCCTTTATCACAAAGGGGTCCATTTAAAAGATCTTCATAGAGGGGCACCTGGGTGGCTCAGTTGGTTAGTCCAGCTCTTGATTTTGGCTCCGGTCATGATCTCACAGTTCGTGAGTTCAAGCCCCAGGTCGGGCTCTGTACTAACAATTTGGAACCTGCTTCAGAATCTCTCTCTCCTTCTATCCCTCTGCCCCTCCCCTGCTCATATTCTGTCTCTCAAAATAAATAAATAAACATTAAAAAAAAATCTTCATAGAGTGTCATGACACAGCCCAAACGCAATGGCTTCTTCTGTGTGTCTGCAGAGAGTGCCAACAGGGCTGATTCATGACACGGACTGTGGTTAATCAGACCTGGCTTCTTGGACCCTGACCAACCTTTTACTTATTTTTTTATTTTCATAATTTTTTTTTTTTTTTAATTTTGAGAGAGAGAGAGCAAGAGAGCACACAAGCAGGGAAGAGGGGTAGAGGGAGAGAGAGAATCCCAGGCAGGCTCCACGCTCAGTGCAGAGTCTGACACAGGTCTCGATCCCACAACCCTGGGATCATGACCTGAGCCGAAACCAGGAGCCGGACACTCAACCGACTGAGCCACCCGGGCACCCCCTTGACCTCCTTTTACAATCTTCCTCCTTCCCCGTGGTGCCCCCTTTAGTCTTTGTTCAGATAACCCTCATCATCTGCTCACCTTGTTACAACCTCCCTCAGCATCACTTAAACTTACTCTGACTTTTCTCAAGCATTTCCCTTCCTTCTTGGTCCCTGCACAGAAAATCTGCCCTTACCTTCAGCACACAGACCCTCCCCCTGCCCAGGCTGGTGCAGCAGTGACCTCCGTGCAGGGAGCATGCAGACCTGCCTCCTGTCCTGCTCTGCCATCCATCACCCGCTGTGTCCCCATGGACAGCTCATTTCTCTCCGGGTCTCAGTCTCCTTCTGCATGAAGTGGAAATCCCCAAGGCCCTCTCTTCCTAACAGGTGAATGGCTTATCTATCATGTGGGGAGGGGGGAGGCAGCTGCCCCCAGCCCTGGCCCCACACCAGCCAGCTCCATTTCTCTGGGAAGGGGATGGGCCCAGAGCTGCCCACGCTGGAGGCTCGGGGACATTCCCAGGAGCTTGCTCGACTTGAGCATGTGGGTCTGATCAGCTGTAGCCCTTTCAGGCTGCAGAGGCCCCATCACCCCTCACGGTGGTCTGCAGGTTAACCCTCCCATTTCTCCCGACACGAGGTTGCTCTGAGAAGGCCCAGCCTGCCCTCACATGCCCAGCCCACGAGTATCCAGACAGCTCAGCCAGGCCTCCTCAAGGAGGGGCGTCCCCACCCTTCCTGCACACAGTGCCGCCAGGGACTCATCCCATGGACAACTCTGGCCTGAGGGCTATATCTACACTCCAGGCACCTTAGCCTGGCTTTGTGGCCCTCCCCAATGAGGCCCCATCTTGCCTCTCTGCCGTGCTCACTTGTCTGCATCCCATGTTCCAGGTAGTTCCCAGATCATGACAGCTCCAAGGAGCTGAATATGTAGATTCATCCCACCTCTGCCCTCCCAATTACTGGGAAAGCAATCAGAACTGCTCCCTGGTCTCTGAGGGCCCTTAGCCATTCCAGAGCGTGCGTGTGATCTTGGCAGAGTCTCACCTGCTTGGTCTTTCCCAGGCGAGCCGTCCTGCACCGGCCGGTAGGACAGCAGATAGCTCTCCACCGTGTCGTCAGAGTACAAACTCCAGCACACGCGGACAGAGGAGCCCGTGGCTGAGTTGGGGGCCTGTGGGTTTATCACTGGAGCAGAAGGAGCTGGAACGAGGAGAAGGGAGAAAACCAAAACCAAGTGAGGAGCCTCCAGGAGAGGTGTGGGATGCAGCGGCCCCTGTTGTAGGACTCCTGGTCCCCCGAGGCATCCGTGGGCTTTGCCCAGACTGGACAAGGTCAGGAAGGCCACACCTCCTAATGGCCAGCCTGCAGGTGACAACCAGCATGTCCATTCCTGCTTTGACAAACCCACGCAAGCTGGGGGAGGAGGGGTCAGTGATAGTGACTCGGGCTGGGGGGCGTGTGCAAGACCTGCCTTAGGCATGGGTCCTCTGACCCCTTCCACGCCTTCCGGAGAGACGAGGCAGCCGGGACCACAGCAGTGCCGCCCACAGGCCCCGGAGGGAACAAAGGAGAGAAGAAGCTTCACCGGGAAAGCTCGCTCTGCTTTCACTGGTGGAACCGTCCACCAACCATGTCTTCATTACAAGGGGAGAAGACTGGGTTGGGCCAAATGTGCTCTTGAGAACCATCTTGAGAATCCATCTACTGAGTTAATTCTTTTTTTTTTTTTTAAGTTTTTTTAATGTTTATTTATTTTCGAGAGAGAGAGAGAGTGAGTGAGACAGAGTGTGAGTGGGGGAAGGGCAGACACACACACACACACACACACACACACACACACACACACACATAGAATCTGAAGCAGGCTCCAGGCTCTGAGCTGTCAGTGCAGAGCCCAATGCAGGACTCAAACTCACGAACGGTGAGATCATGACCTGAGCCGAAGTCTGAGGCTTAACTGACTGAGCCACCCAGGCACCCCGAGTTAATTCCTTTATTCTCTGTAGGTTAATACTTCAGCCTCCCCAGACTCACACACAACCGAGAAACCCTCCTTGTCTCTCCTCTACGGAATCTTCTCCCGCGGCAGCACCTGCCCGCAACCCAGACTTTACGGAACAACCTTGGCTTCCGATTTTGACATTGCTCCATCCAGGTAAGAAAGAGCACAACTAAACTTGAAGGTGTTTCCTAGCTGAAGCTCAGCCTTTCCTCTCTGGCCAGGACCTGGAAGGTCCTAACGGGACAAAGGCGAGGAGGAAGAGAAAGAACCTAATGACGAAATCCAGGATGTACAGAGGGTGCCCGTCTATACCCTCAAGGGACAGCCCCGTAGCAAGAAGGGTGGGAGCTGCGGTGAGAAGAGGGGTGGCCCTGGGCTTGGCAGCCCACCGGGAGGCTCCAAGACCTGGACCTGGGGTGGGGGTGGGGGGCCGGTGAAGAGAAGTGTAAGCATCTCTCAAGCACCGACTTGGGTGATCATGCCTTTCCTTCCAAATACCTGGGCCTGGTTATCTGGGCAGCACCACCCCTTAGAAGGGGAAGGATCATCCAATGGACATCGAAGTTCAGTGAGATCACTCTGTGAATCATGAGTCTAAGAGTGGCCTCCAAGGTTTCTAATTGAGGACATCCATTACAGTGTGGTTTCTGGTGGTGAAAAACCTAGAAACATCCCAGCAGCCAGTCCAGTTGAGAATCAAGTAAACAAACTAAGGTATATACCCATTAAAATGATGTTACAGAAGGATTTACAGTACAAGAAATATTAATCAAAATTTTGATTAAAAAGCAGGTTACAAAACAGAATAAATACCCTATTAAAAAAATCTGTATAAAGGAAAAATCTAAAATGATATGTACAACATTTTTACATTGTAGTTGTGTGTCGCTGAGGAAATGGTGAGCAGTCAACAAAAAAAAAGCTGAAATCCAGTATTATTCTTAGAAATAAGTAATCACAGTAGGGGCACCTGGATGGCTCAGTCGGTTGAACCTTGGGCTCTTGATTTCAGCTCAGGTCATGAGCTCACAGTTTGTGAGTTTGAGCCCAGCATCAGGCTCTGCACTGATAGTGTGGGGCCTCCTTGGGATTCTTTCTCTCCTTCTCTCTCTGCCTCTCCCCTGCTTGAGCACGCTCTCTCTCTCTCTCCCTCAAAATAAATATATAAACTTAAAAAATTAATACATTAAAAAAAATAAGTAATCACAAGAATATTTTTCAAGTTTATTAGTTTATTTTGAGAGAGAGAGAGTGAGCAGGGCAGGGGCAGAGAGAGAGGGAGAGAGGGAATCCCAAGCAGGCTCCGCACTGTCAGCACAGAGCCCAACACGGGGCTTGAACTCATGAACCACAAGATCATGCATGACCTGACCTGAAACCAAGTGACCTGGATGCTTAACTGACTGAGCCACTGAGTCGCCCCCACACTAATATTTTAAGAGCTACCTGGTACCATGTGACGTGCTCTACATGCATTGCCTCGTGCAATTCCCACCATATCCCCATGAGGCATTATGTGGACAAGGAAACCAAGACTCAGAGAAGTTAGGTAAGTTGTCCAGAGTCACACAGCTAGGAAGTGGAAGTCCTGGGATTCTTACCAGCTCCATAGGATCCCAAAGCTCATCTCTTAGCCACTGTGCTAAGTAAATAAGTACTCGGGCTACTTGCCAGGAGTAACTCGGGCAGGAGAACAGGGGTTTATGAATCTGGGCAGGCTATGAATAAAAAATATTTCAAGGTTGCCCAGCGCCAGATGTTGGCTCCCTGGAAAGTGAGGGTGGGCACTTCACCCCCCCGGGGGGAGGGGTCTCCACCTCTGTTCTCACCATTGCAAGCTATGAAGACATGGGATTAGAGCAAAAAAAAAAAAAAAAACAACAACAAAAAAACCAAACAAACAAAAAAAGAAAAGAAAAGAAAAAACCTGTTTCTAAATATTTATGGGGTTTTATTTAGCCATCAAAATTTCTAACTCAAAGCTCAGGGACCTGGAACTTTCTATGAAGTATGCACACAGGCGAAATATGCACCTGGGATGGTGTTAATGGAGCCCATCAGCTGCTCCACATCAGAGAAGTCCAAGGTCTGGTCTTCAAAGTCAGGCTGCGCAGAGATTTCCACGTCTGTTTCTGTATTCAAGAATTTTCCCAGTCTGTTGGTATAAAAAGCCATGCTCACAAGAACGAAGGGACATGCTCCTTAGGGTGTGTGTCTACAGTGCTGGGTCACCGGTAATAAACGTGAAGGGCCTCTTTGCTGAAGTTTTATTTCTTTGACATGCTGCTGGCTGCTGGCTGCCATCTGCTTTGGTGACTGACCCAGGGGGTGGATGGAGGAATTGGTTTGTGCCTTAGAGGGGAGGGGTAGGGGTGGGCCATTTGGGGGGCAAGTGCCTAACAGCTCCAGATCTACACCCTCTGGAAGACCTCTCCGGTGCTGACCCGGAAGCTGCCATCCCCCCGCCGCCCCAGGCCCCGACACGCACAGACTCTGGGGTTTCTTCTCCATGGGGCCGAGCGTACTCAACCCGCTGACGGTAGACTGGGGCTATGAGTTTTCTTGCACCTGCTTCCTGGCAGTCATTGGGTTTGTAGGTGGCAGGGGCGGACCTTGAAACCAGGTCTGTCTTTTGCTTCTTACCCCTTATGTCATCAAGCTTCAATGTTCATGTGGCTTTACAGACACTGTCTCGTTTAATTCCTGTAAAACTATCCCTGTCTGTAGATAAGGAAGGTGAGTCCTAGACTGGTTGGACTTGCCCAGGGTCATGGGGGTAACGGGATTTGAACTCCTGTCTGACTCTACAACGTGTGTGCTTTCTGCAGTACACAGTCTGGGTCCTGGCACAGCTCAGGGATGGGGGAGGCACTGGACCCTGGCTCCTCCTGGCGAAAGGAGGGGCTCACGGGGTGACCTGGCCACAGGCTTGCTGGCTGGGCCGTCTGAGATTTGGTACTAGCGGGTCCTAGTGACCATCGTCCCCCCGAAGCCAGCGTTGTTGGGTCGCAGGGGCAGACATGAAAACTGTAACTGGGAGCATCTTCCCAAGGGGAGCTGAGTCTATCTGTATCTAGAGGAGCAAGAGACGGGAAAGAAGATGTGCGTCAGAACAAAAGCATTACCTGTCAGCCATAGCCACAGCATCCTAAAAAGGAGGAGGGGAAGGAGAAAATACTCAGTTGACTTTGAAAATAAATTTATTTTTCATACTATATAGTGATATAAGCACATTTTAAAACTTGGAAATTAGGGGGGGAAAAAGTAACAGCCATATCCCCCACTAACAAAACCACTCTCAGGCTTCCTGTGGGTCTCTTCCGGACGACTGCGTCCCCCCAGGGACGTTATGGAAGGACCCCCGCGTCACAAATGGTCTTTCGGCCCACCAGTTCAAAAGACTGCAGAACCGTTCACGGAATGGAAGTTCCATCGTTTACTTAACCATTCCTCTGTTGAGGGACATTTTGGTTGTTTCTAATTTTTCATCATCACAAATAACAGTGAGAAGAACATTCTCACACGTATCACTTTCTCCACATTCGGGTTTATGTCTCTGGGATATAGCGATGTTGTGGGACCAGTGGTTCAAAAGGTCTGAGTATTGAAGGCTCTAATGGTGTCTGCACACTTGCTTTCCAGCTTGTCACGGGTCCCTTGCCCGAAGCACGGCAGGAAGGAAGCACTGTTGGGCTTTGAGGGACCACTATGGGCGGGGTCAGTGTGGAAGCCATATTTGGCAATGGGGCAGCTCCAGAGGCTGAAGGCCCCTCCCTCACATCCTGGACACCACAACCACGCCATATTCCTGTGGGACATTGTGAAGAAAGAGGACCTCAGCTCTGAGACTGAAATTCCCACATCCCAGCAGCATGGGGCCTTGAGGTCAGATTTAATTGGATTTCAAGAAAATTAAGAAATGAATTTTTTTTTTTTTGCATGTTTGAGTTTACAAAAATTTAAAATTGGTGCCCTGGTAACTGGAGAGTTGGAGGTGCCTTTTTAGCCTGGATCGCCTCCTCCTCAGAGCTCTAAGAGGCCATCTGAGGTGACCAGAAAACTCTCAGAGCGCTGATGTTGCTCAGCTCCCTGGCGAGGGGACAGGTCTCTGGGACAGAGGAACGAAGGCTGGTGTTGTCTGAGTAATGGTGGAGGCAAGGGGTCAGCCGTGCGTGAGTCTGCTCGGCCACTCATGGCGGAGCGCACAGAGACACGGGTGACCACCTCATCCAGGAACAAAATGGATGTTCGTGAACATCCAGGAACCAAATGGATGCTGATCCACAGAGGTCAACTGCAACACCTCCAGACAGAGAGGGGACAATCTAACCTACCCCCGCCATACTGTCACTTCGGTTCATGATCTCATTTCACCTCATGACTGACTGACCTTTATGAAGTCGACCTTCTCTTCGTGACACATCTCCTCTATGGTTTCCATGAGTTCCTTACAGGTATCCAGGTTTTCCCCACAGCTGACCAGTTGTCCATACAAGGCTTCCAACTTCGCTTTCTTTTTCTCTCCGAGATCTTGTATTTTTTCTTCATATTTTTGAGCAAGTGTTTCCAAAATCTCATTGAAATGTGACTCAAAATTTTGTTCCTGTCTTCCAAAGTTCTCCTGCAAGACGGTTGACCTCAGCCGTTATTTTAGCGAACATGGTGTGTCGACTACAGAGTCATTTGAGGCATGAAAATATACCTACCCAGAGATGTTTTAGTCACCCCACCCTTTTCTTATCATCGCTTGCCAGGATGCTGGGGTGGGTACAGTGGGAGCTGGGACCAGGAGTCTATGGCTAGAGCCCCTGGGATAATCTTTTTTTTTTTTTTTAAGTGGGCTTCACGCTCAGCCATGGAGCCCAACGCAGAGCCCAACAGAGTTGTGAGCTTTGAACTCACAACCCTGAGATCAAGACCTGAGCTGAGATCAAGAGTCAGACGCTTAACCAACTGAGCCACCCAGGCACCCGAGCCCCTGGGATAACCTTAACGAGAAGCACTGCCTTCACTCCTGGCAGCACTTTGCAATCCTCCCTCCCCTCCCCCCACCCCATCCCCAGCCCCACGCCACCTCCATCGTGGCCACCTCCCAGGAAGATGGTCAGAGATGAGTCAACCTGCCACCGTATCCCTGGACTGCAGACATCCACGGAGATGTCTGTCCTGGGCAAGCCCTACCTAGCCTTCCCTCCTGAGCCCCCAGCATCTCATGACACTCACCTCCACCTCCTGATGCCTGCATCCTACAAACGCCAGGATCACACAGATCCTCACATCAACTAAGAGAAAGGTGAAGGGGGAAGGGGAGGGGGGAGGGGAGTGGGGGCCGTGGCCAGATGGTCCCGCCCAATAGATGAGAAAACGTAGGAAGGCAGAGGGAGCCATGCGACAGTACTTAATCCAGGGGCACAGGGGATGAGTAATGTTAATTAAATCCTGTCGACTACTGGTCCTCTTAGATTCGAAGCCTGGGAAAGCTTCGTGGGTTGTGACTGATGTCACCCTCTCCAGGTAACGGAGACATTTCCAAAGCAGAGGCTCTCTCGATGACTCGGGGAGTATTTGCTGAACATCTTCTACGTGTCCAAGACTTGCTCAGAATGGCAGCAGAGAAGGAAAAGCAGTGGGGGACTCCCCAGTGCTGGTGTAAAAGGGAAAAGTCAGAGTCCTCACTGAGGGTGAGGGTACTCTGACCTGAGATGAGCGAGCAGAGAGAGTGTAAAGAGTTTTGTCCAGGTGGCTGTACCTCTGTCCCTCGTTCCGTCCCTGTGCCCTGCAGATGGGATTAGTGCAAAGCCCTCCCTCTTAAGACTGGGGATGAAGAAGTTCCAGCTTCCCTGGACAGGGGCCTGGGGCTTAGCTAATTCATATGAGGTGTTCCTGGAGATACGAGGCTGTATTAATAGAGGTGGAGCACCCACAGGCAGAGAAGGCAGGTGCAAAGTCCTGGTCCTTAGCCTCACCTGGACGGGGAGGCTGAGTGCAGGCATCACAGCAGTGTACGACATGCTACTCGGTACACCCAGGGGACTGTGACGTGTTTGGTGACAGGCACAGAAGCATATTAATCTTACGAGAAACATAACAGCTGGGGAAAATAATCAGGAAGTGCGGGTGTCTTGCAATGCCTCGTCAAGGCTGGGCCATGCGAGAGACCCACCCTCGCAGCAGGACTGAGGATAGACAGAGGAGGCCCTGCCTCCCCAGGAGAGCTTCCGGTTCAGCAGGGGATGAGGACAGGTAGTTTCCACCAGGTAGATGCCCAAGGTCCCCCGGGAGGGCAGGGGAAAGGGCGAGAAGTGGGCGGTTCTCTAACCCACACCAGTCACAGCTGCTGACCCAGCCGTGGCGGAAGCCACGTGTGTCTGAGGGCGTCACCGCGCCTGCTCTTACCTCCACGGTGATGAAAACCTCCTCCAAGTGATTTGCAAAATTCTCCATCTCGATAATCTGCTTTTCCAGTTTGAACATGTTTTTGTGAATTTCGTCCTAGCAAACAGAGGATCCCAAGGAGACATTAATGCTCTTTGCTCTCTTCCGTAGGAGGCGCTTTAAATTCATTCCCTGCCCGCCTAACTTGAGACACAAACGCACTGTCAGGGGAACTAAGGAGTCCCGTTTACCTTGGCGCTTTCCAGGGCCTTGCTGAGGGGGGTCACCTCATGCTCTCCGTGCGCATCCGAAACCTCGCACGCCCTTACTGGGGCTTTGCAAGTGACACAGAAGACCAGGGCGGCTTCGTCCTCGTCCTCCTCCTCGGGGATGACGTAGCACTCGTACTCCTCGCTGGCCCGGCCGTGCGCGTACCTGTAGGCTTCCCGCAGGTCCCGGCCGGCCGCGCCCCAGCCCAAGCAGCCCGGGTCCTCGGCCTCGGCGCCCAGCCGCCAGTCCCTCTGCGCCCCCGCCGAGGACAGGTGCAGCCGGGGTTCCGAGACCTCCACGCGCGGCGCGCTTCCATCCACGAGCTCCGCGCCCCACTCGCCACCACCTCCAAGCGCGTACAAATCCACAAGCTCCTGCACCTCCTCCTCCAGGTCGCTCTGGGCCTTACCTGGGGCCGCCCCCCCGGGCTCGCTGGTCATTTCGGCGGGCACTTGTCTTCCCGTCCGCGTGTGTTCTTCTGGGAAGAGCCGCAGCCGGCCTTCGGAGTCATACAGATCCGTGGGACAGAAGTGGAAGTCCCTGGGACCCGGGGACCTGTGCACCTCGGGCGCCCCCCCCAGCCTCCCCGTCCATCGCGCCTCTGCACCCACAGAGTTCCTCGCACGCGCGCCTCCTAGTGGGTGTCCTGGGTCCTAGAACACAGAAAGAGGAGGAAACCCTGTTTCTGAGAAGGCCATCCCAGCAATTGGTCACGCACTAGATTGGGCTCGACTCATTCACAATTAAAAAAAAAAAAAAAAAAATCATCTGAGCAGCTAAGCCGTGGTTTTACTTTGAACCATCTGCAAAGAGAGGTTTGCTTTCTCCAGGAAGGAGGCTTTCTCGGCTTAAAGGAGACCAGAAATAAAGAAATGCCAATAGGTTTCACCCACACAAGACTCCTCACGGTTAAAACAGAGGCAAAATCATGGGAAGCGTCTCAGGCAATTATTATCAGACAAGTTGTATAAATGGATTGAAAAAAATTACGATCTCAATAAATTAGCGTGCAAGGACAATTCACAAAATAATCACTTGTGCAAAAACATTTGGGAAATGGCTCATCCTTATGAGTCACAGAGAACAAATAAGATGCCATTTTGCCTTCCCAATAGGCAAATATTTAGAAATATAAGAACGAGACCCAAGGCTGGGGAAGGGTACAGAGAAGTCAGTACTCTCACATGCTGTGGGTTTGAATGTACACCAGCCCCCCGCTTTCTTCACAGCAAACTGCACGATGTGGATCAGGAGCCTTAAAAATGTTCACACTCTTTAAGCTAATAATCCTCATCAGGACCCTGAAGGAAAATATCAAATACAGGGGCAAAAATATTTCTATATAAAAATATCCATCACAAAACATTCTATTTTATTTTATTTTTTAATTTTAAATGTTTACTTATTTTGGGGAGAGAGCGAGTGAGCGAGCACCTGAGTGGGGGAGGGACAGAGAGCGAGGGAGACACAGAATCCGAAGCAGGCTCCAGGCTCTGAGCTGTCAGCACACAGCCCAATGCCGGGCTTGAACTCATGAACTGAGAGATCATGACCTGAGCCGAAGTCCATGCTTAATTGACTGAACCACCCGTGTACTCCACAAAATATTTTATGACCGAAAAAAATAATTGTAAACCCCTAATGATTAGGAGAAGAGTTAAGTAAACTAGGTTATGTATACTCTCCAGAATATAATGCAGACTTTAAAATGTTAGGGAGAGCAAATGATTACTTGGAAGAAGACTTACAATATGATACTAAGTAAAATAAACAGAATATTCATTATATACAGACTGTGATATTTATCATTTAGTGGAGGTATGTAAAATCTAGAGAGAAATAATAATGGTCGAAGTAGTAAATACAATATTAGTAGCAGCTACGACTTACTGAGCACTTACTATGTGCTTTTTCTGTGCTTGGCAATTTATATACATACCCCTGTGTGTTAGGCACTGCTATTATCCCCATTTTACCGATGAGGAAACTGGCTCAGAGAGGGTATCTTGTGCAAGGTCATATGGTTAGTAAGTTGTTGAACTGGGATTTGAACCCTAGTCTGTGTGGCGGCCGTGAGACAGTGCCTGACACGTGTCCAACTCTAGGGGAGCTCAGTTGACCAGATGTTTCGGCTGCACCCTTCAATCCATCATCACAGTTGCATGGAGGACACATCCCCCGTGGGCATCTCCGTCCAATGACAAAGTGTAGCAGGGACACTAAGGCAGATCCATTTCTGTGTGACACAAAACTCCTCTGACGGCAAACTTTGGCCGGAAGACTCCTCGACGGCCTTGCCAACACTTTCTTGGGGTGCATGGCAGACTAGGGTGATTCCTCTAAACCATCCTTCCCTGTCTCCGTCACCCGGGGTCAGACTTGCATCATGGTCTGACAGCTCTCTCAACCTTTCCTAGCTCCCTCCCCATTTTATCTCACACAAGTGCTTCCCTTAATAAAATTCTTATCTATCCAATCCCATATGGTGCCTGCTTCTTGGAGGACCTGGAGTACACAGTCTATTGGACTCCAAAGTCCCCGCTTTCTTCTTGGTGCATAACCGCCATTATGTTAGATTACTTTTTATAATAGTTTTGCTGACAAAGAATTCACGTATCCTACAATTCTCCTGTCAGAAGTGTAGAATTCAAACGATTTTTAGTAGATTCACAAAAAAGGAGCCACAATGACCATAGTCAATTTTAGACCATTTTCATCACCTCAAAAAGAAACTCTATACCCTCCAGCTACCATCACATTCCTGCATTTTCCCGAGCCCTAAGCAACCACTAATCCACTTCCTGTCCCTATTGATTTTCCTGTCGAGACACTTCACATAAATAGAATCATATATGTCTTTGGTAACTGGCTTCTTTCCTAGCATCATGTTTTCAGGATTCATCCATGTTGTAGCGTGTGAAGAAAGTGCCCTTCATTTCTTGTTAGAGCTAGATAATATTCCATTGTATGGGTGTGTCGTATTTTATTTATACATGCATCAGCTTGTTTGCATGTTTCTCTTTTCATTTGGGTCGTTTTTCACCTTTTGATTATTATAAGTAACGCTTCTAAAATGCTTGTGTCCAAGTTTTTGTGTGGATATATGTTTTCATCTCTCTTGGGTATATACCTAGGAGTGGGGTTGCTAGGTCAAATGGTAACTCTACGTTTAACTTTCTGAGGAACTGCCAGACTGCTTTCCAAAGGGGCTGCACCATTTTTTCATTCCTACAGCAGTGTATGAAAGGCTCTGATTTCACCACATCCTGATCGACACTTGGTATTATCTGATTAAAAAAACTTTTTTAATGTTTATTTATTTTTGGGAGAGATGGAGACAGAGCACGAGTAGGGGAGGGTAGAGAGAGAGGGAGACACAGTATCTAAAGCACCTCCAGGCTCCGAGCTGTCAGCACAGAGCGTGACGTGGGGCTCAAACTCACGAATCATGAGATCATGACCAGAGCTGAAGTCAGATGTTCAACTGACTGAGCCACCCAGGCGCCCCTCTGATTTTTTTTTTTTAATTGTAGCCATACTGGTGGGTGTGAAATAGTATCTCGTGGTTTTGATTTGCAGATCTCTGATGAATAATGAGGTCAGGTATTTTTTCATGTATTTATTGGCCATTTGTATATCTTCTTTGGAGAAATGTGTATTCAAATAGTCTGCCCATTTTTAATTGGTTGTTTGTAAGATTTCTTTATATATTCTAGAGACTAGTCCATTATCAGATAAAAAATTTGCAGATTTTTTTTCCCATCTTGTAGGTTGCTTTTTTAGTTTGTTGATGGTGACCTTTGAAGCACAAAAGGTTTTCATTTTGATGAAGTCTACTTTATTTTTTCTTTCGTTACTTGTGCTTCTGGTGTTGTATTGAAGAACTCAAGGCCATCTCTGAGGTTAAGCCAACCTTGCATTCCTGGGATAATTACCACTTGATCATAATATAGAATTTTTTTTATATGTGACTGGATTCAGTTTGCTACTAAATTTTGAGGAATTCTGCATTTAGATTCCTGAGAAAGATTAGCCTGTGGTTTTCTTTTCCTGTAATATCTTTGGCTGGTTTTGGTAGCAGGGTGATACTCATCTCATAGAATAATTTGGGAAATGTCCCTTCTCTTCTATATTTTGGAAGAACTTGTGAAGGATGGGTATTAATTCTTCTTTAAATGTTTGGTAATATTCACCAGTGAAGGTATCTGGACTTTGTGAGGTTTTTTTTCCTTATTATTAATTCAGTCTCTTGATTTATTATAGGCCTATTCATATTGTCAATTTCTTCTTGAGTCAGTTTTGGTAGTTTGTATCCTTCCAAGAATTTGTCCATTTCATTTAAGTGATCTAATTTATTGGAATACAATTGTTCATAGTATTCTTTCTAATCTTTTTTATTTCTGTAAGGCTGGTAGTAATGTCCCCTGTTTCATTTCTGATTCTAGTGATGTGAGTCTTCTCTCTTTCTCTCTTGGTCAATCGAAGTCAAGGCTTGTCAGTTTTGCTGATTTCTTTGGTGTAAAGTAGCAGGTTAGGTTATTGATTTAAGTTTATTTATTTTTGAGAGACAGAGTGTGAGCAGGGAAGAGGAAGAGAGGGGGGGAACAGAGCAGAGGATCCAAAGCAGGCTCTGAACTGATAGCAGTGAGCCCTTTATAGGGCTCAAGCTCACGAACTGTGAGCCCAAGTTGGATGCTCAACTGACTGAGCCATCCAGGCACCCCAGATTTAAGATCCTCTTTTTAAATACAGGCATTTATAGTTATAAGTTTCCCTCTAAGCACTGCTTTTGCTACATCCAAATAACACGGCAAAACTTTTCGTGTGTTTTATCTTTGCTTTTATTTACCTTGAATTATTTTTCAACTTTCCTTTTGCTTTCTTCTTCGATATGTTGGTTGTTTAGGAGCGTACTTTAAATTTCCACATATTGATTTCTGATAGCGTCCTGTTGTGGTCAGAGAGTATGTTTTTGTATTATTTCTATCCTTTTAGATTTATTGAAGTTTGCCTTAGCATTTGATTTATCCTGGAGAACGTTCTATTGCCTTGAGAAGAATGTGCACTCTGCTGTCGTTGGGGGGGGGGGGTGTTCTCTAGATGCCTGTGAAGTCCAGCTGGCTTATAGTATTATTCGTGTCCTCTATTTCCTTGTTGGTCTTCTTCTTAGTTGTTCTATCTGTTATCAGATAGTTATCAGAAGTAGAATATTGGAATCTCCAACTAGTCTCTTTTTCCATTTACGTCAGTTTTTGCTTCATGTGTTTTGGTGCCCTGTTGTTAGGTGCATATATAATTGTCATATACTCTTGCTGGATTGGCCCCTTTTATCATTATCAAATGCCTCTGTTTATCCCTAGTAACACTGATACCAATACTTCAAACTGTCCTTCCCTTTAGGCCCCTGGAGGTTTTTAAATTCCAAGGCCATGAAATCTTATAGGCAATGCAATATTCAGGAGAAGTGAGAGGGGTGGGTTCACTTTTGTAACAAAGAGAGGAAAGGATACTGTGAACACAGAACCTGCATGAAGTCTCAACTGCTGGCCCATTTCAAAGGGGAGCAGTTCTGGGAAAGATTAGATTATTATGTTAAGCATCTGGAACCTAATGCTCTTCAAACTATCACTGTCCATGTACCCCTTGGAAATCC